ATATAGCACTTTTTTGTTGTTGTTTTTTTGAGAAGTAAACGATACAATAGACAAGCAAAAAAAAAAGCAAAAACAAAGAACAAACAAACAAAAGACAAAATACAACAACAACAAAAACAACAAAGAAAAACGCTAAATAATATATAGCACTGATAGAATCGACGCCCTGCGTATCCACCAGCAAGATGGAGTAGTCCTCGCCTTCAAGAAGAGCCGTGGACATCCAAAGACCTATAGTACACGCCTTCATTCCGTGTCCCACTTCGAAAAACTCCTTTCCGAGAAGACGGGAGAGGAAGTAGGATTTACCCGAGCGGAACGGGCCGCATATCGAGAGGACGGCGAGCGGTCGCCGAACACTCGAAAGCAACGCAAGGGCGTCGGGTACGATCTCCAGTTTTATTTCGCCAGCCGGAGGTCGTCTCGGGACGCGGACGTATGGCAAGCAAAGTGTAACAAAACTAAATGGCACGTTAAAGACATGTAAACGTACGTTGGAGACACATACGTACGTCTAAAACGTACGTCCGTACGGACGGACGTACGTACGTTTCAAACGTACGTTCATACTGATGGTACGTACGTCCGGTCCATACCATACGCGTATCCATTATGCGCATGCGCATTATCGTACAGCGCAGTTGAGAGTAGAGTATGGCTCGTGAAGTGATATGTACCTCGAAGGAAGGAGGAGGCCTGTGTCATTTTGTTACTCTGAAGCTAATAGCGTGAAAGAAGCTCACGATAGTCCAGAGCGAAAATAGTCATATAATCCCGGAACTCCGCGTTGGTGATCGCAAAAATCAGAGCACACAGTTATCGTGTACTCAAAATGTACCACTACATACTCGGTGTAGTTACGATTAGCTAAACCATATTGTCTCTCAGCTTCTTCAATGAAGTGACGAATTTCATCACAAAACAAACTGACCCCAACCATGTTCTGAGCCAGATTCTGGTTCTGAGCTTATGATACTCTCTCACATGATAGTCACATACGGCGTAATGTTTAGCATGTGACTGACCCACAGACGTACGTATGAACGCGTCTCGAACGTACGTTTGAACGTATGAACGTACGTTTGAAACGTACGCCCGTCCGTATGAACGTACGTTTTAGACGTACGTATGTGTCTCCAACGTACGTTTACGCGTCTTGAACGTGCCATTTAGTTTTGTTACACTTCGCTTGCCATATGCCCGCGATGTTCGTGCTGCATAACGTGCCGTCAGCGCACAGCTCTTTCCTTTCGCAGATCTACCTGTCGCCGTTACATGCGTACTGTACATTGGCAGAACGGTGAGCAGGACGGTATACTTACCTTCAGAGGCGTATGGGAGGTGATTCGTGGCAAAATTCGACGATGTGACGAACCCGTTTTGTTCGTCTGGAGGAGGCGTGACTCGTCGGGCGGAGGCGCGTTTGTTCCAGTGGAGAGGCGTGTCTCGTCGAGAGGAGGCAAGTTTTTTTCAAGTGGAGAGGCGTGTCAAGTCGAGAGGAGGACGGAGGCAAGTTTCTTCGTATGGAGAGGCGTGTCCCAGAACCGCCTCCGGTCAAAGGGCAAGGACGGCGTTAATAAGAATACCTTCCTAGGATGGCAGGTTCGCTATTCATACATGGCTGACCTTCAAGACAGCGCACCGCGCTCTCAAGCTGCTGCAGCTGAGAGGTCGCAGTCACCAGCTGCTCTAGGTCTGACATCCGGGCTCTCACCACGTGTCCAGCTGTGTCTCTTATTAATGCGCCGCATAAACCGCGCCCCTCCCGCTGAACGAGACCCGCACTTTCGCGCTCCTCTCCACTTCAAAAAACTTGCCTCCTCCTCTCGACGAGACGCGCCTCTCCACTCGAAGAAACTTGCCTCCTCCTTTAGACGAGACACGCCTCTCCACTCGTAAAAACGCGCCTCCGCTCGACGAGACACGCCTCTCCACTCGAAGAAACTTGCCTCCTCCTTTAGACGAGACACGCCTCTCCACTCGTAAAAACGCGCCTCCGCCCGACGAGTCACGCCTCGATCCTCCAGACGAACAAAACGGGTTCGTCACATCGTCGAATTTTGGCACGAATCACCTCCCATAGAGGCGTGGCAGCTGCCATGCAGCAGCAGTATCTGCACGAGCAATCCTAGCTTACTTTAATTAACTAGAAGAATGTTGAACATTGTTGGCGAGCGGGAGCGACCCAACTTGGGATTTGTCCGGGCTGCATAACGTAGCGCACAGCTTTCCTTTCGTGAAGCAAGACAGAGCTACCTGTCGCCGTTTACATGCGTACTGTATATTGGCAGAACGGTGAGCAGAACGGTCCTTACCTTAGGCTTTCAGTTCGTCTGTCGTGGTCCACCAGGCAGCAGTAGGCTAGGCAGCGATCGATCGGGCTGCCCGACAACGCGGCGTGTGTTAGCTGGTCCACCAGGCAGCTGGCACGCAGCAGTATGTGTACGAGCAATCCTAGCGTATTTGCACGTTGCAGCTTGGAACCATGAAGATTGGGAAGAGGTAAGCTTACAGCCTCGGTCAGTCACCGAAGGTTGCAGCGCATGCCGTCGAATGGAGGAGAGTTCTCTAGCTGGCTATATAGACCGATCGGCGAGGCACGGCACCGTGTGTGAAAATGTGTAAAAATTTGGAAATAGTTTCGGATAAAAAGAAGCGCGTTCAAAGACGCGCATGCGCACTTACACGACGTACGACGTATATACGACGACGGTCGGTTCGTAGATAATAATATATAATAATTATATATAATTATAATTATATAGAAAATTCCGCTCGAACGAACGACTAGGTTGGCTCGCTCCCGCTCGTCAATTAAAAGATTAGCAGCGATTGTTCGTGGGCGTATGTATCAGATATTTTTCTGGCACAGAAAAAACGTTGGTGATTTATGGTGAATTTTGGTATATTATTTCTCGGATTTTTCTTACCTTGTTTTTCAAACTTATTAGCATATTCATATTCCTCCTCAATACATTCTCTATGGGAGAGAAAACTCGTGCGCGACTCACCCAGGAGCGAACGGTCCGTCTCCATTATGCGCAGTGGCTTTCTTTGCCTCATGCTTCGGTCGCGGTCGCGGTATGAGGGAAGCTGGCGCTATAGAAAAACGGGCGTGACCGGGTGGCAAAGGTCAACGTAAAAACGTAATGCTCAAAACTTAGCCACGCCTATTTTTCGGGATGGCTCTAATACGCCTGCGCGTGTCGCAGGAGGCAGAAAGAACGCCATTGCGCATAATGGGACGGACCGTTCGCTCCTGGGTGAGTCGCGAACGGGTTTTCTCTCCCATAGAGAATGTATTGAGGAGGAATATGAATATGCTAATGAGTTTGAGAAAACAAGGTAGGAAAAATCCGAGAAATATACCTAATTCACCATAAATCACCAGCGTTCTTGCTGTGCCATTGAAAAAATATCTGAAACATACGCCCACACACATCGTTGCTAACCTTGAGTTGCACCTTCGAACCATGAAGATTGGGAAGAGGTATATACAGCCTCGGTCAGTCACCGAAGGTTGCATCGCTTGCCGTCGAATGGAGAAGAATTCTCTGGCTGGCTATATAGATCGATCGGCGAGGCAGCGTGTCTGTGTAAAAATTTGAAAATGTTTTCGGATAAAAAGAAGCGCGTAAGAAGCCGCGCATGCGCACTTACACGACGTACCAACGATATCCGAAAATTCCGCTCGAACGAAAGACTAGGAAAGGATTAGGAAATGGTGACAAGCATCCCAGTGCTTTCTTCATAAGTAGTAGTGGTCCCCACAGTGATTGTTGGGTAATATTAATTCAATTGCTGAGCTCCTCAATTTTGTAGCTCGCTGCAGTTGCCCCTTGTCTCCTGTCACATTAGGCAAAATTTCATGCAGGGCTTACTATACAAGGGTGGTAAATGAGAATAGGGTATAAACGGTATATTGTCACTGATGTAAAGCTGAGGAACACCAGCACATATAACTGCATGCGAAAACTACGAGGTAGAAAGGCAAAGGCAAAGGCACAACAAAAAAATCAACTACACCCAGGACAGCTCTTTTTTTTCCAATGAAAAATAAAGAGCTGCCCTAGGTGGGATTCGCACCCACGACCCCACGCTAGGCGAGCGCTCTACCAACTGAGCTACCCGGGCAACCCAGCTGGTAGGGGTTGGAATCTACAACACACAAGGAAAACCTCAAATCACTCACTGTGCTATGGCACAGTATACTCTCACTCAGCATGCAAAGGCACATGCACATCTCCATTCCTCCACACACAATGTTGGACTGTGTATATAGCTATATACATTCCAGCACGTGGCTTGTGACTGGCAGCAAGTTAATTGTTGTGGGGGCAACAGGGGCTAATTAAAAAAGAAGTCTCAATAATCAATAAAGCTGCCTAGCTTTCTAGGTGATCCTTTTAACCTTCTGCCAGTAGATTCCCAAGCAATCATGCTCATCTTTTTTACTTTTGTCACTTCCGACTTCTCAGTGACGATTATCAGTTTTCTTGCATGGAATCTTTACAGCAATCATGCTGATAGACTTCAGATGGACTCGACTACTTTGACGAATTTTCGTAATGGGTCCCTTGCTCATTTTGCAAGGCCTGTTTTCAGACTCTCTAATACTTGTTTATTAGCAGTTTTTGGCTGAGCTTTCCAGCTATAATTTCCCCCTGCTTTGATAATAATGGCAGCTATATTCTGTGATGAAAAAGAAGTCTCAATCAATAAAGCTGTCTAGCTTTCTTGGCAGACCTTTTAACTTTCTGCCAGCAGATTTCCAAGCAATCATGCTCATCGCCGACTTCTCAGTGACAATTATCAGTTCTCTAGCATGGAATCTTTGCAGCAATCATGCTGATAGACTTCAGATGGACTCGACTACTTTCATGAATATTCGTAATGGTTCCTTGCAAGGCCTGTTTTCAGACTCTCAAATAATTGTTTGTTAGCAGTTTTTGGCTGAACATGGCAGCTGTATTCTGTGATGGAGCCATTTTCAAGAAACTCGGCGCGCTTGATCAATGGTGGCGCAGATTGAGTTCCCACAAGTCCCGATATCCTCTGTGGCTTCTACTGACTATAAAACTGGCGCTATTTTCCAGTTTATTCAAACAAGAGAGAAGGAGTTCTTTGTCGATATTCACCTCAGACTTCAGGATCATCCCATTTGCATCTGACTGCAATGACTAAAGCCACGAGCTACCTCTGTCTGGTGCTTGTAGCACTAGCCCTCGTCTCCCCGAGTCTCTGCTACCCTCGCCAAAATGGGATACGTCGCCCTACAGGACCAGAAAACAGTATGCCCGAAGCAAGTATGCAAACACCAGGTAAGGAAATAGCAACATCCAAATGCTGCTCATATTATTAGTGTTTCATTGTTGTTGGTTTTCACATAAGACGTGCAGAATTATTTGGAACAACAGTATAAACAAGACGATCAGAAGGAAGAAGTAACTGAACAAGGGGCTACTATCGAACGTGAGCTATATAGCTATACAGTTATTAACCCTCGCGCATGTGCAGCGAGGGTGTATATACTTCCTCCCTCCCATAATACTTTGGCCGTTCTAATGTACTGTAGTATAGAGCCATTCTGGCATAGTGGGCGAGTGTGTGTGTCTGTCTGTCTGTCTGTCGTCCGTCCGTTACCCAACATCATACCTACCAACCACCCCGCTTTTTGCTTGATAATCAAGCAGAAATACTGCCTATCCCTCCAAAAAAAATCGGAAAATCCCTCTTTTTTGTGCTAACCTGTGATGCATCCATGCCTATACATTTTGAATGGACACAAAGCATTTTCAAACAAAAACACTCCAAATCAAGCAAATTTGACACTTCTCAAGCAAAGGTTCATCTGCAGGTCGGTATAGGTATGCGACATCTCACTTCACGAGCCAGCAATGAATTGCTCCACAAACGATACCGCGTTGGGTATAGCTAGGTCGAAATTACTGTTTTCTCTGAAACTATTGCTGCGTTCGAGAGGTTTATGGCGTGAAACACGCGCGAAAAAGCCTTTACCTCCAGCGGGTTCGCTCTCTCTGTGTAAGGCACAAGAAGTCACAATGAAGGTCGTGTATCGACTCCCGCATGGTATCTACTACTGTAGCTAGCCCGTGTTAGACTCCGCGAGCTACTATCTATACACAGCGGGAGTAATAATGTAATACATTGCGCATGCGCCGTTCCCCGAGGGTTTCCTTAGTGTTAGGTTAGGTGAATGAGCAATTCATTACTTCGTCTCATGCTACACATTAATGCATGTTTTAAAACACTAAAGTGCAAAAAACATGCATTAATGAGACGAGGCAATGAATTGCTCATGCTGACACTAAGGGAACAAAACATTGGCAAAGGAGTAGCTAACATTTAAAACTGTCTATATAGCTAATGTATATGTAATTAATCTCTACTACATTTCAACAGTTCCTGCAGGTCTCATATTTGATACTAACAGTATCTACATCCTTTTGGGTAACAATGGCAGGTTTGTCAGTCGCATCAGACGTGGTACCATCGACTACATGGAGGCTGAAAAAGTATCAATCGATTATTTCTGCCTTCTTCGCGCCAGTATTCTCTATAACGGCAAGCTATCCTTGAAGTCTGACAACGGAAACAACAACTACCTCGGCCGTTACACTCGAGGTGGGGTGAACGACATCGAGGCTGTTAAAGTCTCTATCGATGTATATAGCCAGTTTACGGTGGAAGTAGACATTTCTGACGGCATAGGGAAAGGAGCTAACTACATCTATTTGAAAGCTGACAATGATAAGTATGTTGGGATTAAAGATCGCAGTGGCAGGAATAATCTTGAGGCCAGTTACGACACCCGGGTCCCCGCTACCCGCTTCACCCTTCTGGAAGTCTTTTAGACTCAAGACACATTGAAACGGTGCAAAAAATGAACATGAGAAACTTTGTAGCTTAGTTTAGTTGTAGTTGCAGGAAACTGAAAAAACTCTGTTACGTAATGCTGCTGTTTAGTTTGTTATCTGTTATTTAGAATTTCACTGGTGACATATTTCGGCAGAAGAAGGGAGCACATTACGTCTACATAATATAAAGAGAGGACCTGGACAAACTCAGCTGCATGGCCACAGCCAATTAGCCATAGCACTGCTACCACCGAGATATGTAGGAGCTAATGGACTAAAGGACTAGTGTACACAAACAAGCAGAAGCCTTGCCTGCTAAAGTTTGTTTATGCACACAGTCTATATACCTATGATCAGCCAGCAGGAGCCACCTCAGTGTATATAGCTAGGCAGTGGAGAGCTATAGCACTTCACTTCTACAGACACAAGTGGAAATTTAAAGACCCAAAAGTAGTCTATATACCCTTTACCAGTTTATATGTGGTTTACGCTGATAGGATGCTGCCCATGAGGGTGTATGTAGGACTGTGTCTGTGTCGATAACTTAGCGCAAGCGTGTTTTATTCACACACATGCACAACGATTGCACCATGGGCAATCCAAGAATCATAAAAATGATGTTTTCAGTCTTCGTCCTGAACAATGTCGTTGACAATGCGGACAATCTCCTCGGTGTTGCAGTCCAGGAGTCTGTACGGGTGTAAGGTCCCATACCCAATCTCCTCTGAATGGTGGCCTGGACACGAGCTCATCAGCTTCAGGAGCTCTCTCATCACCCATACACTCCCCACATAGTCTGCTACCGGTCTCCCTGCAATAGTAACATCTACTGCGTCCCCATCTTTCTCGCAGCGCCGCCGGATGTCGTGAAGGGCGAGGCAAATTAGTCCAGCAACGGCGGGGGTCGAGCAAGAAGTCCCACTTCCACAGTCGACGGAGAACGGACCATTTGTTCCCGGACCCGGCCCCCAGATATCTTCTCCGGGAGCGAGAAAGTCGAGCTCTCGCCCGACTGGGGTAAACGAGGTAGGTTTGCCGTTGTCGTCGTGTGATCCAATACAGAGGACGTGGCCGAGGCGTGCGGGGTACGATATCGGCTGCATCTTCATGCGGCCGACGTTAGAGGCACAGCAAACGACGACGATCCCCGAGCTGACGAGGTCGCTGATTACCTGGGCCCTCTCCAGAGAAAAGTATGACGATGCTAGCGAGATTGAAACGACATCAATTTTTGTACCAGATCCATGTAGCTCCTTTAGCCATTTCAGAGCTCCTAGAAAAGCTTCGTTATCGACGTCACCACTTGTTGTACTGACCACCTTGCAGATGATTAGTTTTGCTCCAGGGGCAACCCCGGGGGGAATTTCGAGACACGGCGAGTGGGGATCACCTTGGTTAATTGGGCAATAGAACGAAGAGCCCGCTGCTATACCGGCACAGAGCGAGCCGTGACCATCCGAATCAATAGCACAGTCAATGTCATCGACGGGGTCTTTGACGAAATTTCTGACGGCCAAGATTTTGTCCTTGAAGGCGGGGCTCGTGTAGTTGACGCCGGAGTCTAGCACCGCGATAGTAGTTCCGGTGCCATCGACCCCTCTCTCGTGGAGTCGCTGCAAATCCCAGACCTTTGATGTGTAAGTGTTGTCGGTAGATATCTGTGGGTCTTCTGTGTAGGAGCAGTCTGTAGTAAAGACTCTCTTCGGGACCTGTGCATCATGTAAGGGAAATACATTTGGGTATTGTGTGCTGTACTTTTTTATGCAAGGCAACAGTCATGCATGTGTCATTAACGAGGTATCAAGAACACAATTCAACTTGTTATGTACACACAAAACAGTCTTTGTAGCTCTCTAACCAAAGAAGGTGTAACCTGAGAGCATGTACATAATATCACTGTTGTATTGTGTAGTATAAACAGTGTGTAGCTCTAACAACCATGCACATATAAGGTTTACTTGAGAAACGTGGGTCTTACTCGTTTCGGTTCAGGAGTTCTTCCAGTCCAACTTCTTCCACCGTCTTTTCCTGAGCTCCTCTCGTCCTCCCCTCCACTAGAGACGAACGTAGCAGTATTGAGACTGGATATGAGAGTCTGAGGATCCACCAGTTCTCCTTGAGGCTCAGTCTTCCCCAAGTCTGCAGATACTCTGGACCAGCAGGCGACACCGGCCCTTCACTCGAGAGAGAAGAGAATTTGATGCTCGTTTCCCCCCCGCAGCCTGTCTTAATGTCTGCCAAGATTTTCGATAGTTCTGGACTGCTGGAGACTAGAGTGATTTCGATGGGTGTTGTCACTGCAGATGCAGCTTTGGTGATTTCAGAGACGACTGTATAAGTCAAGTCAGATTGTGTAGAGAGGGGAACGAGGACATTGTTCAGGGTGTAAGTTAAGGTTTGAAGAGCGTTTAAAACGGGAATTAGATCTGGTAGACGTGAAGTCGGAACGATTAACTTTTTGACCGATTTCACCCCTGACTCCTCGAGGCCGCTGGTAACAGCTTCAAGAAACTGCGGCAAGAATTGGGACCGACTCTGGAGGAGGTTACAATACTCTTCTGGTAGTCTAACGTCAACCGAATCCATGTTCTTGTCGAGGTTCCAGAGTCGCAGGTAAGTGGCGGCGCTAGTGAGTGTGAAACTAGCCAGTGCCGAGCCATCAGTCGCAATTGAGGCCGGCAGACACCGAGGCAGATGGAGACTAAAGTTCTTTAGTGGTGTTTCGTTGTACGTTTGCACGATGGGGGGCGTGTGCTCCCTCGAGTCGCAGCCAGATTTCGCACGCTGAGGACGAGGTGCCCTGACCGTTCTAGGGCGTTTGGCTGCAGGAGCGGAATCAGTCTCTTCGGTGATGCCTGCAGAGGTAGTGGTTGAAGGGTAGTGGACACTAGGGCCGCGGGATGGAGTGCGTCGACTGAGACGGTGAGGAGGTGGAAGGGTTAGACGCGACAGCATTTTCATTCAGTGTCGGTGTGGGCGACGACGGTACAATTTTAGCGCGGGAAAGGTGGAGACTGCGCACGCGCAATTTCCGCCGAACTGCGCATGCGCACTTGAGCAGAAACAGGTCTCATCTTGTACGCTAAAAGAACCAGTTTACAATTACGCACAGAGTACGGAGATGAATGACACGCAAGAGATGAAATACAGAGCAACAAAAAATCAAAAAAGTAACAAAATACGTTAGCATAATTTAAAAACGACACTCCAAAGTCGTGTATATAATTGACAAACACATATACAACCGCACATGTTCGATGTTTTTATGACGGACGTCTGAAGAAAGAAGTAGAATTTGTATATGGTTCCCGTTCCCATGGAAATGTTCAGAAAACATGGAGACGAGAACAACGTGTACTGCGTCACATGATTTGTTTATTACGGCTTGTGATATCTGTGAGAGAGAAAGTGAGATAGAGAAACGTTGCATACACTGTAACATCTGAATAAGGGACACCTTGGGGCATAAAATCTTCCCTTTAATCTGTGGTTCCATTACGCAAGGTACAACAGGCGTCCTTTCTGGAGAAGTGTCCCTTATTTGAAGGTTCCTTCCTTTTTCAGAGGTTGCAGAATACACGGAAAACTCCAAATAAGGGACATTGAAAGTGTACTTTATTTGTGTACATTAAATGTTCAATACACTAATGTATTAGTATGGGGCAGAACCAAGTGTCCTTTATAGAGAGGTGTCCGATAAGTTCACTGGTAATGAATGAGTTTTTTGCTTTTACTCTATAGAATGTCCTTTATGGAGAGGTGTCCCTATGTATTAGTATGGGGCAGAACCAAGTGTCCTTTATGGAGAGGGTCCCT